TGAAAAATGAAATGGAAACTTGGTTTCTATAGGGGATTATAGGGATTAGGGTTTCCCAAAATTAGGGGTGCCTTTTTCGGGGGTCCCCATAATAAGGACTATAGTATGTTGGGGCCTATATTGGGGTCCCATTATTTCAGGAAACTACCACATCAATCAGCGGAATCCCCGAATCTTCGGAGCGGCCCTAAACCCTACCTGGACCCTCCAATGTAGTCCCTTTTTGGGTTTGGTATGGTTTTTTTGGTTAGGATTCTAGTTAGGACTACCAAAACGGTTACTACATTGGAGGGTCTAGGTAAACCCTATAGTCCCCCTTAAGTAGATACAGTAGAATATGGCTTTGAGTATATCATAATAAGATCCCCATGTACCCCATATTCTATCTACCTAAACAGGACTACCGGCTGTAACAAACAAAAAACAACAAGCTTTCTTCTCTGCGCATCTGCAGGAAGAGAGATTCTGGGCGCAGATTGTCGCCAAGGCGAAGCTGATCTGACCATATTAGGGATATTTTTGGGGGTTCTAATGGGATAATGGAAAATAAAATGGAAACTACCATAATGGGGTTATATAGGGATTATAGGGGATATTATTGCAAAGAACGGGGAACATGAAATGGACACGGGGTTTTGTAGGGAGTGGTAATTTTAGGAATGACTCTCGATAATATAGACAGAAACGTCTCTTCTTCGCTGTTGCCACACCTCTCATCCGGTTGCTTGCACGAAGGTAGTTGGTGAGGAACAGGTGGCAAACGAGCGCACTGCGCAGGACTAGCCTGTTGCTGGCTCCAGGAGACCTCAAAAAGAAGCTGCCTTCAGGAAACATACCTGCTCGTGGAAGGCTTCCCCACAAGCTGGAGCGAGGTGCAGTTCTGGTTGCTTTGCTGCTTCCCTGAAGTGACTCAAGGTGTGCTTCTACCAGGCTCAATTGCGCGCCACCTTCCTGGCCTTCGGTGGCGTGGAGAGGCTGACATACGTGCCAGATTCGAGGCACCAAGGGGGCTCTTGCGGGTGGTTGCTCGTCATGCAACTGCCATCACAGGTACGGTCGGGTTGCCAGACTGGTGTTGAAGGACTTGCTTGCATCGAGAAGTGAAGAGCGTTCAATGCAGACATGTGAAGACCAGGAGCCTGACGAGATGACGCGAGTGGTGCAAGAGCTCCATGGCACGAAAGTCGGAGATGGAGATGTCGTAGAGGCATGCTCTTGGACCAGAAAGCTTTCCTGGGTAGCTTGGGTCCTTGAAAAACGTAGCTGGATGTAGCTTGCGCGAGTCTTGCGCGTTTGGGTCCGAACAGAGCCTGTCTGGCCGCAAGATGCTACCAGTTCGCGTGTGTGATAAGTGTAACAGCACAAGGAGTACTACCTGTAGTCTCCTTGGGACTTATCTTTCATTGATCTTATAGTGTAATCCTAAGATTCTCTAAAATTGCTGTTTTTGGAGTAGGTCCAAGGGGACTGCGGCTACTGGTAGTAAGTAGGAGTTTCGGCTCGGCTGACTGTCCCGGTCTGGGTCTGGTACGTCTGGGTCCACGGTCAGGGTGGGTCCGAGGCAGCTATTCAAGCTGCCAGCATGATACATTAGGAGGACCCCCCACCCTGTAATAGTGGTATAATAAGAATATAAGAGGACCGTAATATAATCCCTATTATCCCTTATAGTCACTATTACTGGGTGGGGGGTCCACCTAAATGATACATTATGTCTCAGCACTGCCCAGCAGTTTCTTGCAGGAGTGTGTCCTGAACTGTAAAATCACCAGCGCCGCGGTACAAAAGAAGGAGGAGGACGCGGGAGCTTTGGCATTTCGGGCTGTGTGTTCCCACTGCAGGTATGCCGGCCGGATAATCATGTTGAGGAAACTAGCTACTCTGTACACCGCAGATATCTCGAGTTGCGTGCCCTGTATCTTCTGAGTTTGCAAGAAGCGTGCAGGAAGCGCGGAAGCGCAGGGAAGAAAAGGAAGCAAGGAAACTGTTGCCTGGCACAATTTAGCACAGCTTTGGTTGAATCGTGGTTTGCAATTGCAGCAAGAAGGCGTCTGGAGCATGGCATGGCATGCATCGCCTGTCAGGTACCGTGCCGATGTACGCAAAAGGCGTGAGGAAGCTCGACGTGAAAAGGAAAAGCTCGAGAAAGAACCTAGAGACGAAGGTCACGACGAGAAGGCCTGGACATGTAGCAGATGTGGCGTGGATTTTTGATTGCTATCACCTGCTTAAAATTGTTATTCTTATTCTTATTCTATTACAGTCATTAGCATTATTATCCTGCCTAGCCCTTTAGGACGATGACGAGGACCGGGAAGAGGAAGAGGAGGAGGCGGGCAGATGGCAATTCAACCTACTTGAAGTGGGTCTCAGAATCCTTCATGATCTGTACATATGTATAAGCAGTAGGTTCCATTTCATGTTCCATTCGAGCTGAAAAATAAAACCGCGTACAGAGAATATAATAGTGGATGCACTTTAGCTTCGATATAGCCATAGTTCCCTGGGCGGCCCCTTAGA